CCCGCCCCCCACCGTGACTGGGCACATTCTGCCAGTTGGTGCTAGTCCTCCATCTGAAATGGCACAAGGCTTCCGGCCCGGACGGGCTGTCTCCATCGATTTTTAAGGATGGAGGTTCAGCTTTGCTTTTGGAGTTAACAGAACTCCTGGGCTCAGTGTGGGGGAAGGGAAGAGGTTCCAGCTGAATGGTGTGAATCGCTCATCATACCGATTTACAGGAAAGGCTACAGATCGTCTTGCGAAAACCACAAAGAAGTTAGTTTTATCAACATTGCCTCTAAGCTTCTTGCCGGCATCATACTCCGACGATTATCTGCCGAACGTGAACGGTATACGCGTGAGAACCAGGCAGGTTTTAGACCTGGTCGAGGTTGTATCGACCATATCCTCACTCTCCGCTAAATTCTGGAGCCCCGACATTCTTTTCGTAGACCCACCATCTCTGTTTCTCTCGATCTGAAAGCGGCTTTCGACTCAGTCGATCGCTCCAAACTCTGGCGCTGTCTTCCCTTGAAGGGTGTGCCCGAGAATTTGATTTCAATATTACGATCCCTCCATACTCATAGCCGAAGCCGAATCCGAGCTTACGGCGCGTTTTCCCCCGAGTTCATCACGGAAAGTGGTGTTCGTCAGGATTGCCCTCTTTCTATTTTTCTATTCAACTTCATTATAGATTTGATTAAGAAAACAGCCCTATCCCCGTTGGAGGATAGTGGTATCGATTTACTCCCAGGTGGCAGACTGTCTGATCTAGTGTATGCAGACGACATTGTAGTACTAAGCGAATATCCAGGTATGTTGCAATCTTTTCTCGATAGTTTGAATGCCAGTGTAGCCATGTTCGGTATGCGTTTTGTTTCTTCAAAGTGTAAAATGCTACTACAACACTGGGGAAGTAATAAAGCAAGTGGATAAGTTTTATTTAGGCGGCTACGTCTCACCCGGTGGACGCATCACGGGTGAAGTGTCTGCTCGCATACAGACGGCTCGTTTGGCATTTGCCAACTTGAGACATCTGTGGCGCCGTCGCGACATCTGGCTGTGTGTGAAGGGTCGAGTGTATGCCGCGGCAGTTCCGCCAGTTCTGCTATACGCGCAGAAACTCGGCCGAGGCAGGTAGTGAGTGGAAGAAAGTCAAGGGTGGCCAAGCTAAGACTTGACACGATGGTATGAAACCATGACCAGGAGTCTGGGTCACAGACCCGTTAGTCTCCCTGGCTACGGATCCCGATGGTTAGAGACAGTGAATGATATGGCTGGGCATTCTTGCATCTTCTCAATTTCTTTGCCATCTTAGGCCACTGAGCTTTTCCATTTTCTTTTCGAGTTAACCTCTAACTTTCCTGTCTTCTATTATCCATCCAAGTGGGTAGCAACCAGAACCGGTGCACAAAAGTGCATTTTTAATGGTTGTTCAAACGGAAACTTATTAGAGCTCATCGCCTATGTCTATCCACCGTTCGGGTTTTGAACTATAAACCTATTGTATGGACGGCGTGTGTTACTAATGCGCCAATCTGATTTGGTGAAGGGCTTCCAATTGGAGTCAACTGTGTCGCTATCNGTCACCTGAACAAATGTGAGTGAGTAATTCGGTTCAGTCCTGGTGAGAGCCGGGACGCACAGCGATGGGTCCAGAGTTCAAAACCCTGACAGGACGGTGGACACGCTTTAATGATTAACTCTAGTCCAGTGCTTCCGATTAATGTTTAACTATAAGAACTAAAGGTGAAATAGGAAGGAAGGTCAGTTCAATTCGAAATTAGTTAATCCACACCACCACTCACAAGTAATTGTGAATAAAACGCAACTTTTAAAATTCTCATTGATAATATTAT